GGAGGAGGAGGAGGAGAAGGAGGAGGAGGAGGAGGAGGAGAAGGAGGAGGAGGAGGAGCAGGAGGAGGAGCACCCTTGGAACGGCATAGCACGGCTCGGGCCGTCAACAGAGCCTTGGGCCGTTTGCCCCTGCTGCAGCCGCCGGCCATCGTCTGGTCGAGCGACGCGGAGGTCGCCGGCGACAGGTGGAAGCTCTGCCGGGAGGGCGCCGCCGCCCCAGCCTGGGCGGAGCCGCCGCCCGCGGCGGCCGGCAGCCCGCCGCCCGCGGCTGCCGGCAGCGCGGCTGCGGGAGCAGGCGCGCGAGCCCGGGCAGCGGGCGGCTGGAGCCGTCCTGGGGCCTCCACTGAAGGGTTTCGCCCCAGACATCGGGCGCCTCGAGCAAATCGAGGCGGAGGTTTTTCGTCGTTTGCGGCCTCTCGGGGCCCTCGCCGGGCCTCGGGATCGACAAAAAAACGATTCGGGATGAAAAACGGGTCCTGGGGAAGTGGTCCCGCGTCTCGTATAAATCGAGACGTCGGATGTCTGGGCCCGAAGGGCTTAGGCGACTCGTCCTCCTCTTCCTCCTCCTCCTCCTCCTCCTCCTCCTCCTCCTCCTCCTCTCCTCCTCATCTCCTCCTCCTCCTCCTCCTCCTCCTCCTCCTCCTCATCTCCTCCTTCTCCATCTCCTCTCCCTCCTCCTCCGCTCTTCACTTCCTGCCGTGTCCTCCTCCTGCCTTTCCTCCTGCTCCTTCCTCCTCTCCTCCTTCCCTCATCATCCTCCCTCCTTCTCCTCCTCCATCTCCTCCTGCTCCTCCTCATCCTCCTTTCTCTCCTCCTCCTCCGCTACCTCCTCCTGCTCCTCCTCTACCTCCCGCCTCTCTCCTCCTCTCCTCCTCCTCCTCCTCCTCTTCCTTCCTTCCTCCTCCTCCTCCTCCTCTCTCTCCTCCTCTCTCCTCCTCCCTTCCTCCTCCTCCTTTCTCCCTCCTCCTCCTCCCGCACTTCCACCTCCTCCTCCTCGTCCTCCTCTCCCCTCCTCCTCCTCCTCCTCCTCCTCCTCCTCCTCCTACTCCCTCCTCCTCCTCTCAAGTGACGGCCGTCGCCGTCGATGTCTTTTCAGGTGTGAACCCGTGAGCTCAAGAGCTCTGCGGAGCCAGAATAGTTTTGAAACGGGGGCGCATCAGCAGCTGCAGCTTCTATCTAGGGGCCTCTTCAGGCCCGACACACATCACACCGTTCCGCCCTTCCGGCGGCTCCTTCGGTTACCTGCCTGGCAGCTTTGCTTTCGAGGGTCGCGAAGGCTCCGTTCTCGTTGTCGTTCCTGGAATCCGCCTTGATCGTCGCGTCGTTGTACTCCAGGTTACTATTCGCTTCCTTCTTGCGCTTCTCGTCGGCACGCCTGTGCCTTGCATCTCTGCTCGCCGTCTTGGTCGACGCGGCCTCGGCACTGTCCTCCACGCTCGCAAACCCGTTCTGCATTACGTCTGTCAGGTAGCTTCTCGCGGCGTCCAGTTATGTCAGCGCATCGGCCAGCTGCACCGAGGTGTCGCAACACTCCAAGTCAACTCCATCTTGGGACAGTAGCTCGCGAAGTGCCGCGATGACCACACGAATCCGGCGATGGGCAACTTGTCCAGCATCTGCGAGCAGATGAGAAACCAAGCTGTTGGCGTCGTCGTACCACTTCACCGGTATCAAGCTCGCCACGTCCTCCACGAGGTCGCCCAACGGCTAGTTTGGAGCGCTCATTTCGTAGTACAGCGCCCTGAACCACTCCAGCGCCTCAGCTCCTTCTGAGTCCGTGGGTCTCGGCTCCTATGGACGCCCTGCGCACCCGCTTGATGCGTGACCTGCCCCAGTCGAGGATGCGCACTGGTCCTTTCTTGTTGTCGTACAGGCCGTCGTCCGTCAGCAAGCACACGAATCCGAGCTGCGATCTCACCCCTTCGCCGAGCTCGCCGAAGGTAATGTCGTCCATGTTGTTGAGGCTGCTGTCCGCGAGCAGCACCACGATGATCTCCTTCGTCATGTAGCACGTCGCTCCGAGAGTATGTAGGTGTCGCGCGTCTCCTTGCAGTACTTCACGAGCTTGTTCATCTCCACCAGGTGCTGCACCGTGAACTGGTTCTTGTACTGCGCTAGCCAGCCGTAGCCGAAGGAGACGCCCATCCGCAGCTGCCGAGACAGCCAACCGAGCGAGCCAATCACCGACTCGGCGTAGCTCTTCTCCTCGTCCGCAGCCGAAGCCTTGACCTGCTTCACGCGGACTGGCAGTGGCTCGACGCCCTCCACGGCGTCGACGAAATTGGCCATGCCGATCTTGATAGAGAAGTCCGGAGCCTGGTCCACGTCCTCCCCGCAGCACCTAAAGGGCGGCTTCTCCTCCGCCAGCAGCAACGCCTTCTTCAGCTCGCCGGTCCAGCCTTTGAACCTCTTGCTCTTCGGATCTCCAGTCGCGAACAGAAGAGTAGAACGAAGGCGCGTTCCAAGCGGCTCTCCTGCTACGAGTTGCCGTGTAAATTCCTGCGTAGCTTGCTCCACCACTGCGCCCCGGCGTCCTTGGCGCCGTAGATCGCGCCGTGGCAGATGAGCAGCGATCCTTCCGGCACGCCAGGTGGCAAAGGGGAAGGTGGACGCAGCGCTGGAATCCGGTCGACGCCGTCGCCTCGGAGGAAGGCACTCGTCGCATCAAGCTCGAACAGTGGCCAATGCGTCCGCGCTGCCGCGCTGCATATCAGGTGGGAGACCAGGAGCGAAGAGGTCTGAGCGTCCGTCCGCGCGCGCACCTTCTCGTAGCAACCGACCGCCAACAGTTTCGACTTCGCTTTCATCCCGAGCTTCGTGTCGAACTCGTTCTTGTTGGTATGTACCCACCTTGATGGACTGGCCTTGACCTTCTCGAGAAGCTCCTTCGCGTCGTCGCCAGAAACCACGGTGGCCGCCCTGCAGTTCTTCCAGTTGTCCCACTCATTGGCCGTGCTCGCGTCGAATAGGGCCCCATCCGCCCTGCTGGCCCCCATGCGTAGTTGATCCGCGCGCGGTAGAAGTCGTCCGCGGCGTTCTCAGCAACGCAGGTGCCACCTGTAATGGGGCCCGGCCTAGAACGCCTCGGAGCGGTCCTCTGAGGGCCATGGGCAGGCAAATCGCAATGAACTTCGGGCTCGAGTGGGCCGCCAGGAGCAGCAGATAATCAGCGATTCCGTTTTTACCTAACAGCGAAGGCTGATAGATTTCTAGTGGGCAGCATCTTGACTCCCCAGGGGGGTCTGGGCGGATGCCGAGAAAAATCCGGGGGCTCCCCGGGGTTCCCGCGGGTGCCGGGGAGGATCCGGGCTCCCCCCAAAACACCATTCCCAGGCCACATTTTGAATGCCCGGAGCCAACGGTAGGCCACTTCGTGTTCTTCGTGTTCAGATAAGCATATTCCAGGCCACATTTTGACATGCCCGGAGGCAGCTGTAAGCTTCGTGTTCTTTGTGCTACCCAGAACACATTCCCAGGCCACATTTTGAATGCCCGGAGCCAACTGTAGGCCACTTCGTGTTCTTCGTGTTCCCAGAACACCATTCCCAGGCCACATTTTGAATGCCCGGAGCCAACTGTAGGCCACTTCGTGTTCTTCGTGTTCCCAGAACACCATTCCTGTACCATATTTTGATTGCCTGGAGCAACTTGGCCACTTCGTGATCTTCGCGTTCCCACAACACCAAACCCAGAACACCAAATCCTGTGCCATATTTGGAATGCCCGCAGCGAGGCAGGCTGAGGCCGCGGCAGGCTGAGGCGAGGCAGGATGAGGCTGAGCGAGAAACGCCGAGCAGGTGAGTGCTTGAGCTGAGGCAGGCGCGGCGATGCAGGCGAGGCTGACGAGCGTAGGCTGACGCAGTGAGGCCAGGCAGGCTGAGGCTGAGGCAGGCCGAGGCTGAGGCCGAGGCTGAAGGCAGACTGAGGCTGAGGCTGAAGCAGGCTGAGGCTGAGGCTGAGGCTGAGGCTGAGGCTGAGGCCGAGGCTGAGGCTGAGGCTGAGCTGAGGCTGAGGCTGAGGCTGAGGCTGGCTGATGCTGAGGCAGGCTGGGGCTGAGGCTGAGGCTGAGGCAGGCTCAGGCTGAGGCAGGCTGAGGCTGAGGCCGAGGCTGCAGGCAGACTGAGGCTGATGCAGGAGCAGGCTGAGGCTGAGGCTGAGGCAGGCTGAAGCTGAGGCTGAGGCTGACGCTGAGGCAGGCTGAGGCTGAGGCTGAGCAGGACTGAGCCTGTAGGCTGAGGCCAGGCAGGCTGAGGCAGGCTGAGGCAGGCTGAGGCTGAGGCCGAGGCAGGCTCAGGCCGAGACAGGCTGAGGCTGAGACTGAGGCTGAGGCTGAGGCTGAGGCTGAGGCCGAGGCAGGCCGAAGCTGAGACAAGGTGAGGCTGAACGGGGGGGGAAGGGGGGGGAGGGAGGCTGAGGCAGGCTGAGGCCGAGGCAGGCTGAGGCTGAGGCAGGCTGAGGCTGAGGCTGACGCAGGCTGAGGCCGAGGCAGGCTGAGGCTGAGGCTGAGGCAGGCTGAGGCCGAGGCAGGCTGAGGCTGAGGCTGAGGCAAGCCGAGGCAGGCTGAGGCTGAGGCTGAAACTGAGGCAGGCTGAGGCATCCATAGGAATCCTTAGGAATCCTTCGGAACCCTTAGGAATCCGTAGGCGTCCTTAGGAATCCGAAGGCATAGTTAAGCATCCTCAGGAATCCTTAGGATTCCGTAGGAATCCCCAGGAATCCCTAGGAATCCAGATTCCTAAGGATTCCTAAGGTTTCCTGAGGATTCCTGCGGATTCCTAAGGATGCCTAAGGATGCCTTAGGAATCCTCAGGAATCCTTAGGATTCCATTGGATCCTAAGGCCGTTGCCGCTGCGACTGTCATTGCGAATGCGACTGCGACTGCGAGAACAGCAGAATTCTACAACTGGATTCCCACCTGAATCTTAAGGGGAATGCTTCCAGATATACTTGTACACATCGCTGTTAGGTTGCTTCGCCAGGATAATTATTATTTTCAGTCACCAAAGTTTCACCATCGTCAACATCACGTTCAGTCGCCACTGCTTGCTCAGGCAGCCGTTCATGGGCGGGTTTACGTTCCTGGGCTTCCCCTCCGCGGCTCGGGCCCTCCGGTGTGAGGTCCTCGCCGGGCTGCGCTTCCGACGGACCCGTGCTCTGGTCCAGAGGTAGCCGTCGAGCCTCCTCCGATTGGTCGGGGTTGCTGCTCTGGCCCCGCGTCTCGTCGGTTACAGGCTGCGTACATGGCGCTGACCGCGGGGCCGTAGCGGTAGCAGGTGGCACCGCAGGTGGATGTGCTGGTCGCGGATTATCTGCAGGAACCTCTGGGGCTCCCTCTTCCAGGCCTTCACGACGAACATCGAGGAATCCTCTAGGCCCCCTTGGAAGAGCTGCTCCCCGATGATCAGCCAGCACGCCAGCACACGGCCCCAGGTGATGAGCGCGTCCTCCGTCGCAAACCTCAGCTGCTCAGGCCTCGCCAGAACCGCGCCGCCTCCACGCCGTTGCCAGATATCGCGAGGGCTACCCTGGACGGCTGCTGGCCGCAGAGTCGCCTCGATCCCGTCCGCCATCTTGTCGGGGCCCTTCGGCCGATCACGCGAGCGATGCCGAACCGCCGATGGAATAGTGCAGGTGATTCTCCTGGTCGGACGCGGGCGCGTCTGAAGTGCACGCACGACCCCGCCGGGCAATGCCGCTTCGCGGGCGTCGATCTCGCCAGCTTCGCCCCTCCCGCGCGGCTGTCGCTGCCCACCCTCACAAAGGCGACCTTGGCGGATTCATGCCACAACAGAGCGGCTGCCATCGCGGGCCCTGGGTCCAGCGCGGCCTCGCGGGCGTTCATCCTCTCCGACTCGCCATCTTGTAGGACGGACCCTGGAACACGCAGGCCGCGAGCCCCCAGCGCCCAGTTCGCAGGCGAGTAGCCGTCTTGGAGCACCGACTCGTTGCGAATTTGGTTGACCACCGCGCTCACGGACCTCGGGTCCTTGTCCTTCGTGATCTGGGCGTCTTGCACCCCCCGATGGAACGCCTCCTTCCAGATGCCGCCCATCCGCTCGATGCGGCCCATCTGCTCGCGAGCCCCCAGCGCCGCGTTCTCGGTCCCAACCCCATCCTCGAACGCACGGGCGAGGAACTCCTCGGCGAACTCCCGCCGCCCCCCGCGCGCGGCGCCGCCCCGGCCGCGCTCGAGGTCCAGGGTTGCCCGCAGTCGCGCCCGAAGCGGAGGGTCGCGAGCATGGCGATGCCGAACTGGCCGCAGAACAACTGCTTGAGTAGCGTCTTGCCCCTGGGGAGTCGCCTGGCCCGGGTGGCCGCACCGTTCATCGCGTCGTAGGTCCGCATCTCGATGGTCTTCAGGTCCTCGTGAATCGCCTGAACCTTCTTCGCCGTCCTAGAGCTCAGCATCCGCAGGGGCGGGTCGTCGCCCCAGTCGATCATCTTGGGGCCCTCGAGCGCCATCAGGTTGATCAGGAACCACGCCAAGCGTTACTGGTCGACGCTGAGCCTGGACGCGTCGCTGGCCATCGCGGACTCGACGAGGCAGTGGCCGTAGGCGCGTGCTCCGGGCCCGCTGTCCACGAACTCCGCGAACGAGTGCACTCCTGAATTTGCCGACCTTGATCTTCTCGCCGCCGAGGGGGGCGCGCTCCGCGCAGAAACCCTTGACGTCTTGGTCGAAGTCCGCCGGGTACGCTACGAACACGTGCTCCTCCAGCTTGCCCTCCTCGTGCGGGCACTCCTCGGCGGTCGGTATCTCGCCCAGCTCCTCGTCGTCGGACGGCGCCTTCCCCATCGCGCGCCTTCTTGGCCATCACCTCCACTGCCGCGTACTTCACCCTCGGCGCATTCTTCGCCGCCCTGCAGACCCTGTCGGACGACCTCGCCTCCTCCTGCACCAGGACCTCCGTCGGGGAGATGGCCCTGCCCTCTGGGGTGAACAGCAGCGATGCCGCGAAGCACTTCCGGAGCTGCTCTCCGTCTGCCCGGTGCGCCCTGACCACGTGGGTGCCGAGCTGGTCCAATAGGCGCTGGTGGCTGGTGGCGCGCCGAGTACCGGTGGATCCCGTCCGCGCCCTTGAACAGCCTGGCGCCCGCCATCAGCGCGCGCTTGCAGGGGTAGCCCATGACGGGAGAGAGAGCGTCCGCGCCGTCGCGGTAGTCCAGCCGCCCCGTCGCCGTCGTCCGCGCTGGCCTGGAACGCCTCGTCGCCGCCTGGCGCGCTCTGCCCCGCCGCCGCACTGGGCCTGGGCTTCGCTCGCGCTCCGAGCCCACGGCCAGCCGCCGCCGCGCCCGGGGACGCTCCTACCACGGACACCTCGTCGCCGCCCTTGGCCATCTCGTCGCCGAAGTCGCTGAACCTGGAGCGCCTCGACTTGTCAGGAGCGAAAGAAGGACGTACATGTACATGAATCCACGCTGGTTTCGAGAGTTCGCATTGCGCGAATGTTCGTATCGCGCGGCAGGTCTCGCGGGTCAAGGGGCCGTGTTCATGTACATAGCTGGGCGCGTACGTCCTTTGTGTGCTCCCTAACTTGGGGCGGTACGATGGCGGCGGCGCCGCCTTTGTAGACTTCGGGCAAGCGGGGTCGCCGTGCCGGTGCCCGATCTGGCCGCAACGTGCGCGCCGCGTAGTCCTCACCGCGTAGTCCGCTTCAGCTTCTCGGTCCTGGACCTGCTCTCCGGGTCGTCGCCGGCCTTGCCGCCGCCGCTGCGCGGTCGATCCTGCGAGCTCGCTGACGAACCCGCCGAGCGTCTCCGCGTTGTTCGTGGTTATTCGCCGTCCGCGGCGCAGCGGTCTTCCACTAAAACTAGCAATATACACCTCCACCTCCACCTCTTCCCATTTCCTCCAGTATTATTTTCCCTCCACTGGGCGGTCTTCCGCTAAAAAACAGAAGCGCCGAAACAAAACAATACGCAACAAAAACTCGAAAACCAAACAACACGCCCGAAACATGTAGTTAGATATTTAAATATGCTCCATCATTTCCATCAGTTCCAAGCAACATAACTCCCACGATCAGCATATGTACACATATGTACTTTTGATGTGCAATAAGTATGATATCGAGCATGCCTTCCATGTAAATTAGTTGTTGCTCTCAACTCACTACAATTCCACCCTTGTGAGTACCATCCATGTTGCGTTAGATTGAGTAGAGATCAGTGCCGTTCAAGTAGAGTTGTATCAGCTTGTTTCACGGTATACACATTTGTTTACGTTTGGGTATTTCGCAAGGATGATTGATCGTCCTTGGGCCCGAAGCCGTCTTGCAGATGCCCAGAATGGTGGAAGAGTTGGACGCGATTTTTCAGTCCCTCAGCAATGCCGGACATCACCGCGGGAATGTTACCCGAGGGGACGGGGCGGGGGAGCGGGGCGGGCGGGACCAGTGACGGGAACTCTCGCGAACATTTGAAACATGAGCATTCTGGTCCACATTCCTTCGGGCGAAGGGAACTATGCACATGCACCGATCCTGGCAAGGCCCATCCTTGACCCAGGATCGGTGCATATGCCTTGCTGGCCAAGGTAGGAGGGCGTATGCACCGATCCTGGGCTCAGGATGGGCCTGGCCAGAATCGGTGTATGTGCATAGTTCTCATTCCTCTATTCCTTCGGGCCGCCGGATGTCTGGGCAGGCGTGCCAACCAGCGCGTCGCGGACGGCGGGCACGGTCGTCATCCTCGGCATCGCGGCGGCCGCCGTGTGCGCGTGCTGGTGCAGGATGCGCAAGGTCGCCGAGTGCGTTCCACTGCTCGTAAAGTGCCTACGGTAGGTTTGTGTCGTGTCGACCGGCGGCGACCCCGCCAGCGGCGTTCAAGGTTGAACGCCGCCGGCGGCCCAGAATCGGTCGATGTTGAACGATCGGACGTTGCGGCAGCGGCCGATCGTTCAAGGTTGAACGATCCCTGCGGTGTCAAAAACCAACGCTGGGGTCGGCACAACACGAACCTGCCGTACTCGCAAGCGTCCGACATACCTCTGGCTTGGCGTAATCTATCGTGCAGTCCCTGCGGCAGATTCGGGCCATTTGCGAGAAGCGACTCTGCGAGTAGTGGAACGCGCTTGTCGAGAAGGGCTCGCCCGATACTGGCCTTGGGGAGGGCGTGCCCAGGGGCATGAGGGGGACATATCCGGCTGCCTGCGGCAAGCCCGCCACCGTGCCGACCCAGCATTCGGGGGATGGCGGCGGTTCGAGGAGGCACGGGGGGCCGCCAGGCGTGGGAGAGCCGCGAGGATGAGGCTTGGGATGATGATGGTGATGATGATGATGATGAGGATGATGATGACGATGATGGTGATCGTGACGGTGATGGTGTTTCTGAAGGTGATGGTAATGATGGCGATGGTGATGATGATGATGATGATGATGATGATGATGATGATGATGATGGTGCTGCTGATGGTGATGGTAATGTCGATGGTGGCGATGGTGGTGATGGTGATGATGGTGGTAGTGACGGTGATGGTGATGGTGATGGTGATGTCGATGGTGGCCATGGTGATGATGATGGTGATGGTGATGGTGATGGTGATGTCGATGGTGGCGATGGTGATGGTGATGGCGATGGTCTTGATGGTGTTGGTGATGGCGATAGTGATGGTGATGGTGGGAATCCATGAGGAGAAGGAGGATGAGGAGGATGAGGATGAGGATGATGAGGACGGTTATGATGATGGTGACGATGACGATGTCTAGGATGATGATGATGATCGTCCTCATCATCATCATAATGATGGTTATGATGATGGTTATGATGATGATGGTCATGATGATGACGACGATGATGATGATGATGATGATGATGCTGATGATGATGGCGATGGTGATGGTGATGGTGGTGGTTATGGTGATGGTGGTGGTGATGGTGATGATGCTGGTAATGGTGATTGTGATGATGATGATGAGGAGGAGGAGGAGGAGGAAGAGGAAAAGGAGGATGAGAACGATGAAGACGATGAGGACGATGAAGACAATGAGGAAAATAAGG